ATGAATTGCTAATAATGTATATTAAATGCATATTATTGGGTGAAGAAATGCACATTGGAAATAACAATATATTAAATATTAAATAAAAAATATATTAAATATTATATGAAATGCACATGAGTGTAGAAATGCACATAAAAAAATACCAATATCTTTACATTCAATATATTTTTCAATTTAGTAAATTGAGAAAATGTGTAGTTTATATAAATTTACATTCAATATATTTTTCAATTTAGTAAATTGAGCAAATATGTAATTTATAGAAATTTACATCCAATATATTTTTTTCAACAATAGTAATATCTAATATTAAACAAAATAATAAGTACCTACATCTTATTATAGATAAATATATAATTGCAAAAATAATGTTACTTAAAATACTCATTATTGAAATTTCTAAAATTGAAATTCACAAAAGAAAAATTGATCAATTGATTGCACAATAATGCTAGACAAAATGCACATTATTGTATGTGGTAGTGCACAATTATGGTTCAATATTTTATATATTGTGTCTTTTAAACCAAACTGTAATATAAAAATATTGAATAATAATATTAAAACAATGAATATATTTTTATATTATAAATAATGAATATTATATTATTAGATTAATTCGGTCAATCGATCAAATAAACCGTTTATTTCAGATCGGTCTAGTTTGGTATGAATCAAATCACTAATTATGTCTGCCTTATAAGTGCACAATAGTGATAAACGAATTGCACATTAATGACTACCAGACTACACATTAAAGACTTAAACTTTCAAACCTCAAATTCTCGGTTAGGAATTTTATATTACAGTTCGATTATATATTTTTTACTCTTAAATCACGGTAATTTCAGTTCAATCTCGTCTTTATTTTTAAAAATAACCGAAATGGCCAAACCGAATCGAATAATAATAAAAATAGTATTATTATTATTTTATTATTTTTAACTATATTACTAATTAGCCCATGTGTCCAATTTTTACTTTACAGAAAATGTATAAAAACATATTATTTTGTATATATTTTTTATACATATGTAACTTATGTATTTAAATAAAAAATAATATAAAATAATTAAATAACAATATTAAAATATAAAATATCTTTTGGTAATATAAATAATAAATTAATTTTAACCAATCAAATAACCAAATTATCTCAGTTCACATAAAAAAAAAGATCTCACACTGCATAATACACAATAGAGTAATTAAGATGCACATTAGTGAATATCATAATGCACAATAATGATAGATCAAATGCACAATAACGGTTTTCACATATATTAAAAATTCTGTTAGTTTGGTTCATTGGTTGGATTTATTTAAAAATAAAATAAAATAAAAATAAATTTATTTAAAAATAAAAAAGGAATTACGAGAATCGACAAAACTATATAAAAATATTTTTCTTTAAATTTTATTTATATACGTGTATTATTTATTTTCAACAAATAATGGTATAAAATAATAAATAAAAAATGTATTTATGTTTATTATATAAATATTACTATAAATGCAAAATATTGTTGATTGAATACGCAATATTAACGGTTTCTAAAAAATTGAGAAAAAATGCACATAAAATAATCAATCACTATACTGCACAATAATGCTAAACGGAATGCACACCAATGTTAGATGGGTTGCACACTAGTGAGCGTAAGATTGCACATTATCGAACCGAAATATAAAGTTTCAAAGCGAACTATATAAATTATTATTATTATTATTATTAATACATTTTTATGTGTTGGAAATGCACAATATTGTTAGGCAGATTGCACACAAATGAATATTAGATTGCACATCAGCGATCGAAACCGTCCAAACTAAAATATACGAAACGAAATTTTATATTCTTGTCGATTATCTAATTTTTATTTCAATTTCAGGATACGAACTACAATATGCATGATAATGTAATTCGATAATTTTGGTTAAATTGTTTAACTGACCGGCTAAATCAGACATTTATGTTTGGTTTTAATTTTGATTGTGATAAAAGAAAGTCGGTTCAATTAATGTCGGTTAGAGTGCATATTAACGACCAAAGTCGTGCACTATATTGTTAGATAAAATGCACATTAATGCCTCACAAATTGCACACCGTAGCAATCAAAATTGCCCGATCAATTTTTTGGTTCGGAACTTTATATATCAGGTTGATTGTCGTTTTATATTTTAAAATTTTGGTTATTACATATCCATGTCGATTTTTTTTTTTTTTTTACATTTTTTATCAATATTTTATATTTATTAAATTTTTAAATTTACTATAAAATATTTAGGCTGTTAATTTATCTATATTATATATTTTTTTTAAATGACAATTAATAAAATAATGGTTCATCCCCAAATTGAACTCATCCCTAAAATTGAAAATCACGCACAGCTAAAAAGGGAGAAATCTGGCCATCGTCTCCCTTCACTCTTCAGATTGCCGCCGGCATTTACGGCCAGCGGACGGTTGGAATCGAGTGTTCATTTAGCAAATGTGTTCACTTCCGCCGGCGGACCGTGTCAGCCTTGGACGTCTGAAATCAATGGCAAGCCACGGAGAGGAGATGAAGGCACGGACGGCGACGATGGTGTCTGTGGCAGAGGCGAAGCGGCTAGATGTCGGTGGCGATAATTGCAGACGGTGGTTGTGCGGCGGCGATGTGGTTGTGCAGCTGCGGGTATGTTCCTGTGGCAGGGCTGGTGGTGGTTGGTGTCGATGGCGGGGCCGGTGGTGTTTTGAGTCGGTGGCGGGGTTGGTGGTGGATGGACTGGTGGTGGTCGGAGTGGCTATATGACGGTGGTTGATAATTACGAACGGTTGCCGAGCGGCGGCCGGTCTGTTCACGGGTGTGGCAGGGCTGTTGGGGGTTGGTGTCGATGGTTGGGCTTGTGGTGTTTCGAGTCTGGTGGCGGGGCTGGTGGTGGTTGTGGGCGGAGCTGGTGGTTGTTGGTGGCGGTGATTGTGGTGGTTGGTGACGGGGATGGTGGAGTGACGGGGATGGTGGAGGTTGGTGGTGGAGCTACTGGTGGTTGGTTGCGGTGGTGACAGAACCAGCCGGTGTGTTGACGGTGGTGGTCGGAAGTCAATGGCCGGAGGTGGTGGAGGTGGAGGTGTCGTGGTGGTGCATCGGGGGAAGACCACCGCCTGGTTGTGTGTGTTGCTGCGTGACGTGTGTGTGAGTATGTGAGAGAGAGAGAGTAGGTGGGGTGGGCCCCACTAGGTTAGATGGAAAAAATTAATTGACTAATGTACCCTTACTTAGTGGTCAAATAGATATATTTGACCACAATATGACCATTTAATTACGGAATTGCCACACCTTGTTTGACTGTCATTAATAAAATTTAACTTAATCATGGTCATTGATAAGATAAATTGAATGGTTCAGATTTATTCTTATTTCTTTCACTATCTACCATTCTCACTTGATCCGTAGCACTCCCAAAGCTATAAAAGCTGGTTATGACAATATTTTAATTATCTATTTATATTATCTTTATGTGGACTGGTGAAAAATGTAACTACCATAAATGCACCCATCCAAAATGGTACGATGCTAAATGTTTTAATTATCTATTTATATTATCTTGATTTGGACTTAGAAAAATATAAGTACCATATATACACGCATCCAAAAGAGTACCACATAAACTCCCAAAAAAGAGAAAGAGAAAAAAAAAAAACAAAAAAAAAAAAGCAAAAATATAGAAAGAAAGGAAAAGCAAGGTTATGATGGGCGCCAGTAAGAAGAAAGTTTGGTGCTACAGCCTGTGCTTGCTGACATCTGTGCTTGTCAATCTATTATTTTTCTCGACTCAACACTTGGGCAAGCAGAAGCAAAGGCTAACGTGGACCCAAGCAGCTGCGGAAGAAGCAGAATCTGTGGCTCGGATTTCGTGTTCGGGCCACGGCAGAGCTTATCTGGACGGTTTAATCATCGACCGAAAGCCCATCTGCGAGTGCAACGCCTGCTACGGAGGCCCCGACTGCTCTGTCTTCTCGCCCGACTGCCCTGCTGATGCCGACAGGTTCTGTTACAATTTAGACAAAAAATTGTCCACGTAATTTTGGTACAAATATTTAGTTTATTGTCTTTATATCAATAAATAATTGGTTTGGTGTGCCTGATATAAAATGGTTGACTAATTTTGTGGGGTGCAGTGGGGACCCACTGTTCCTGGAACCTTTCTGGGGGCGACACATGGCCACAAGCGCGGTGGTCATTGCGGGCTGGCACAGGATGAGTTACACGTTCTCCGACACCTCACCTCTGTGGATAACGCAATCGCGGGAGCTAGAGAACCACATCCGTAGGGTACACGTTGCCGCAGCTAACGCGATCACGGAGGGCAAATACGTGATTTTCGGGGCCGGGTCCACACAACTTCTTGGGGCGGCTGTTTACGCCCTTTCTATGAACTTGTCCTCGCCGGCAGCAGTGGTGGCGGCTTCCCCTTCATACCCGGTCCATTCTTTACTTAATTTTTTTTTTAACTTTATTTTAAATACAATTATTTATATTTAACATCTCAAGAAAAATAAATACAAAATATAAAAAATTAAATGTTATTTATTTGAATATAATGAGTGTCCCCATTCAAACTAATAACATTCAAAACATGATATATGAAAAAATTAGTTATATGAATCGTCATGCTTTTTAAATATATATAAATTTATAGAGAAAGGATTATATGAGAATGAATGATAGTGAAAGAAATAAGAATGTTTCTGCACCATTGGATCCATCAAACCAATGCTCATGATCAAGTCAAGATTAAATAAATAATGGTTAAATATGAGTGGCAGTATGGTAAATACGGATAGAAATTGTGGTCAAATATATATTTTCTACCACTCACTAGGGATAAACTAGTCACATCTATTAAAAAATCAAATACTAATAGTGGACCCCACCAATAACCCTTCCCCTCCCCCATCTCACACACACAAACACAGACACACACAAATCCGGTTTTCACGCACGCACACAGGTCACACACACACACACACACACACACGGCGGCACTCCAGCCCACAGCCACCACCGTCGTCTCCAACCACACCCAGCGCCGCCCCGCCTCGCCGTCGCCAGATCCCGCCACCCACCACTAGTCGCTGCCCTTACGCTACCCGCCTCCGTCGCCAATCGGCTTCCGTCTGTCCCTGCCGTCGACATCCGTCTGTCACCGCCGTCGCTATTCGTCTGTCGCCGCCGTCGCCATCCGTCTGTCGACGCCGTCGCCATTCTCATGTCGCCTCCGTCAACATCGCGGCCGTCGGCCGCTTCAATGTCGTGAAACTCCGCCGTCTTGACCGCTCGACGGAAAATTGCCGGTGAATGTCGGCGGCGAATAACAGGCCACCGTTAGCCCGTCAATGACCCCTGCGATTTTGGCCAGATACATCATCTGTTACATCATGTGTGTGTTTGAGTTTTGGGGTTGTTTTGTGAGAATTTGATTTATAATTGGGGTCTAATTGCAATTTATGAAAGTTTGTTATATTTTCAATTGAGTACAATTAGGCAAATTGATATATAATACAATTTTAATATATATACAATAATACATAAAATGCACTATATTAATTTTTTTTATTTCAATAGAAAATCATAACTTAATATTTTTAATATAATTTAGTTTTTATTTTAGTTATTTAAATTAAAAATGATATAGTACCGAAATACTTGATTTATAAAAAAATACTAATAATAATCGAAACAATATATAAAATTTCATACTGAATTTATGAATTCGTTGGATCTCGTTCGATTTTGTGCAATATGGTAGACGTTTACGTGCAATTAGTATAACCATGATGTGCACTCGCAATACATAAAAAAAAATGTATATAAAAATATTATTGATTTCTTATTATATAAAATATAATTGAAAATAATTGTTAATATTTTCACATAGTTTGGCATGTGTGGTTATTTTATTTATTTAAAACGACTAAATCTGACATTTAACCAACTAATATTATTTAATCGGTTAGCAGAATTATTGAACTTTTTGGTATATATCGTGTCGTTTTATAAGGTGTCATATGTCATGTTATAAAGTGCAACGTAATTCTGTATAAAATGCAACATATTGATATATAAAGTGCAATTATGTAGATCTGATTTATTAGACGTTACATTAATTGCAGAGTGTGTAAGTAAAGTACAACGTGTCGTACTATAACGTGCAATGTGCTCTTCTAGAAAGTGCAGCATTCCGCTATATAACATGTTTTAATTTATACCCTCACATATTTATTATGTGTATTCGGAAACTATTTAGTTGATATAATTGTACACCGAATTAACTTAAATCATTAAAATATCTTTTTATTTATTATTTTTATTATATAACTTACTTATTATTATAAAATATTTTAATGTTATTTTAATATTTTATATTATTTCAATTGTAGAGTGTATTGATAAAGTGCAACGTGTTGTTTTATACAGTGCGACATGTTGTTTTATAAAGTGCAACGTTTCGATATATAAAGTGCATTAATCTATAATTTTCCATATAAAGTATGTGTATTCAATAACTATTTTTCATAGATATAATTGTAAATCTAATTAATCTAAATAATTAAAATATATTTTTACTTATTATTTTTATTATATAATTTATTTATTGTTATAAGTTATTTTTATATTATTTTATTTAATAATTTATTTGTTATTTAGTATATGTGTATTGTTGCTGTCTTGAATTAACAACTTCAATTTAAACACAGTTGATGTTTCAAAAATGAAGATAAAAGTTTAATTGGATTTCATTGATTATGTTCACAAGAGTACAGAAGTCGGTTTTAAGCTGAAAACCGAGATTGTCTTAAATTCGTGTACAATGTGATCAAAAAGATCCTCGTACTATCATCAATTCTGCTATTTATAGTACGGTGGCTTTTGTCCTCTTCTTCGAAATGGATAGAGATGCATTTAATATTGAGCTGCTTTGTTTTGAGGCGGCGGGAAACATCAATGATTGCCTTTTTGTTTTGTTGGTCCAATCAGATGCTTCTAATGATTGCTTTCTGTTGGAATGCTCAAACTTTATGGTAGTCGGTTGATTTGGAGTCGGTTTTCTTACGTTGACTTCGGATGTCGGTTTTGATCCTTTTGAAGGTCTTGTCGGAAGTTGGATCTTTCGGAAATCGACAATTCTTAGGAAGTCGGTAATTTGTTCTAATATATTCCGACTTGTGGTACACTGGATTTGATATCAACAGTGAGGCCCCCGACATCAGTAAGTATTTGAAGCTTTTTAAATGATTGCTGATGTCGTCTGTTGTTTCACCGTATCTCGACTTGCTTTGCGTTGTTTACCGACATGAGGACACTTTTGCTTCACTTGACACTTCACGGTATTTGATCTGACATGGCGGTTCTTAAAAGACGTGTCCGCATTAAATGGGCCCAACGGATACAATTTTGTAACGACATGGCGTTTCAGGGTATGGCCACGTAGAATAATAATTACTGTAACGTTATGCCCCTTGAAGATGCGTCCGTTACACGCGCCGTTTCCGGATGCTTCTAACGGTCATGAATCAAAACCTATAAATTGAAGTCGGTTTTGGGACGCAAAAAATTTCTGTACCCTTAACTTCTTCGATTTTTCTTGCGTTCTTTCAGCAATCTTTTCTTTACGTATTTTCCTTGCGCACTCGCTTTTTCCTGTGATCTTCTCATCAATCCAAAGTTCTTCGAAAGTTTTGGTAAGAGTTTGCCCTAATCTTTCTCGTTTTCTTATTCTGTTTCGAATTTTTCTGTATTTTGTATCGATTTCGAAGAGAAAGATGTCTGCGCAAACTGAGAATAGCAGTAGCCGAACGATTTCGGATATTCCGATCCTTACTGATGAGGATTTGGAATTGCCTCTGGAGTATTATCGGTGGGACCCTCTTTTGGTAAAGAGTCTTAATCTCAATAGGGATATCACCGATGAGGACAAACGAGTCGAAGAGGACGCTATGTCGCTTCCGGATTATTGGAGACGTCCTGCTCGTCGGTGGCCAGAGCCGATTGACGAGTATAGAGGAGAGCCGAGTATTCTTACTGACGCCGACATCGTCATGCTTCGTGGGGAAGTTTATATCCCGTCTTCGGTAAAACTGTTTGCCCCTTATCCAGGTGAAAGAATAACTTGTCCTCCTCCGGGTTGTGTTGGCGTTTTTGCCGACTCATTGAGGTCTGGCTTGAGATTTCCGCTTCCTGCTCTGATCACGGATTATCTGAGGAACTGGGGGATTAGTTTGTGTCAAGTAGCTCCGAATTCGTGGAAGAGAATCATTGGTCTTCTAGTTTTGTTAAAGGAGAAGGGTTGGGATATGCCAACTGTTGAGGAGTTAAGGAGCCTTTTCTCATTCCGGAGATGTGCTGACAGGCAAGTAGCAGATCCTCTGATTTGCTATGCTTGCGCAGGAAGGCCCCAGAGTGGTTTTAAGATTGGTGATTTGATCACAGAAATCCCGGATTCACTGCATGGGTTCCAAGAGGAATGGCTGTGGGTCGGCGGGGAGTGGCAGACTCCAAATTTTAATAAGCCTTTGATTGATGGAGTGTCAATTCCGATTAACATTAATTCTGCAGTTTGTAAGTATTGTTTTTTCTTCCAATATACCGAGTTTGTTCTGACTTTGCTTTTTATTTGTGTACTAACAGGGCATCAACTTTACTATTTGCAGCCAAAAGCAAAGGAGTTGAACTCAGCGCGACTTTGAAAGAAAGAATTTCTGAATTGTTCAAACTCAAGAAGACACAACGGGGCTTCAAGTTGATTCTAAAGGACTCAAGGTTGAAAGCTGCTGGATTGTGTCCAGAAATCCTAGACGGTTCTTTTCAACCAGGTAAATTCGAATTAAATTTTTTAATCTTACTCGAAGTCGGTAGCTTTTGGATGTCATAATAACTCGGTTTCATACTTGCAGTGTATTATCCGCTTCTCGGAGTGCTCGGTTTCAAGACTGTTCGTGACGCTAGAGCCTTCCGACAAAGGAGTCCGAATTTGGAACTGCGAACTAAAGTCGGGAAGAGCAAAGAGCTGCGTCTGACAGGAATGGGTCGCAAGAAATTAGTGAAGGCTTATTTGGAAAACCCCATTATGAATCCGCCAAAAACCGACGTCGGGGATGGTGCGACGTCGGCGACAGCAGTTGTAGTGCCCCAACCGAATCCTCTGGCTATTGCGGCCGAAGGTCCGATGGCCGCTATTGCCGCTGCCACTGCTACCGTACCCGAAGTCGAGCCGGTTGTTGAGGCTGCTCCAGTTAATAATCCACCCTTCATCGATTTAGCCTCAGATGAGCCTGATGGTGGTCAGGAAGTTATTGCTGAGTGCGAAGTGCCAGTTACTCGGGCGAGAAAGAGGCAAGCGGAAAGTGTTCCTGTAGCCGAGGAGCGGATGAAGAAGAGACACGATGCTGGTGATCGTGGAAAAAAGAAGAAGGAACCGATCGTGGATCGGTCTTTCTTGCCGATTGACGAAGAAAGATTTTTAAATTTTAAGAAGCCTCGAGAATCAGTCGAGAAATGGTTCTCAACCTTTGAGTCAGTTGAGATTCCTGAGATTTCGAGCACGGTCGAACTGCCGAGTCATGTTATTGATGCTGCTCGGGTCCCTATGATGGCATGGGATCCGAGAGCCGAGATCGGCGTGTCTTCTTTGGCGAGTGTGTATAAATTTAAGTATGCAAAGGCTTGCCTGGGTCGTGCGCTTGTCAGTTTGGTTATGGCCGAGGATGATTTCCGTTTGAATGC